CTGACGAGTCAGCCGGTGACGAGGAGCCAGTCACGGTAGCCTCGGACTCGGTTGGCGAAGAAGGCCGACCCACCGGCGAAATCGGTAAAGCAGACGAAGCAGCTGGCGACTCCGGCATCACAGACCGGGCCGATGGCGAGCTCGGCATAGTGGGCCGTGGCGCGGCCGGTGTCGCGGGCCGATCCGCTGATGAAGGCGACGTGAGGACCCGAGCCGCGGGCGAAGACGGCGTGACGGGCCGAGCCGCGGGCGACTCGGCGGCCGCTGGCGAAACGGACCGAGCAGTGGAGATGCTCGGCGCGACGGGCTCGTCGGGTGACCATGCATGGGCACGCGAATCGATGCCATGCAACATAGGGCGATCGACGTGCCCACCAGAAGACGACGATGATGATGGTGAATCCTCCAACAGCTCCAAACGAACTCCACGTCCGGTTCCTGCACCATGGTTAGGTAACAACAAAGGAGAGTATGCAACATCATCAAATTGGTCAGAAGCAACAGAGGATGAATGCAGGGATGGTGGTTCGACAGTGGACACAGGAAGGTTGGCAAAGGGAAAAACATGCTCATCAAACACGACGTCCCGAGATATATAGACACGATTAGTGGGAACATGAAGACATTTGTAACCTTTATGAAGAGAGCTATAGCCAAGAAAAACACACTTCTTAGAACGAAACTCAAGCTTGCGCTTGTTATATGGACGAAGATGCGGCCAGCAAGCACACCCAAATACCTTGAGAAAGGTATAATCAGGTTGTTCATTAAGGAGAACCTCAATGGGAGTCTTCATGTTTAAAACACGAGTAGGAGTACGGTTGATGAGAAAGCATGCAGTGGTGAAAGCATCACTCCAAAACCGAAACGGAACAGATGCATGGGCCAAAAGAGTAAGACCAGCTTCAACAATATGACGATGCTTACGTTCGACTGAACCATTCTGCTGATGTGTATGTGGACATGCTAAACGATGAGCTATCCCAAGCGAGTGAAAGAAAGAGTTGAGGTTGCGATACTCGCCCCCCCCAGTCTGACTGGACATGAACAATTTTGTGCTTGAGAAGACGTTCAACATGTTTTTGAAACTGAACAAAAATATCAAACACATCAGATTTGCGTTTAATAAGGTAAAGCCAGGTAAAGCGACTATAAGCATCAATGAAACTGATATAGTAATTATGACCACTGACAGAAGTCTGAGCAGGACCCCATACATCTGAAAACACAAGTTCTAAAGGATGTTTCACCTCACGACTGGACTCCGAAAAAGGAAGTTGATGACTCTTCCCCTGCTGACAAGCATCACACACTGCTACATCTTTATGACTAGACAAACTAGGAAGCTCATGACGACGCAAAATATGACGGACAATAGGTGTGGCCGGGTGACCAAGACGAGCATGCCACTGTGACGGAGAGACCCGAACTCCACTGAAAACACGAGCGACACCAGGATGCTCCAGATGGTAGAGGCCCTGGCACAACCGCCCACTAAGAAGAATGTCCCTCGTGCCCCGATCCTTAATAAAAAGATCAAAAGGGTGAAATTCACAAAGCACATTATTATCACGTGTGAGTTTAGGAACTGAAAGAAGATTACGGGTCACAGATGGAACTCGAAGAACATTGCGAAGCTGAAGACTCCTATTGGCATGTCTAGTGAGAAGAGATGCTTGACCAATATGAGAGATGTGCATACCTGCTCCATTGGCGGTGTGGATCTTGTCGGAGCCATGATAGGGTTCACGAGTGTGAAGCTTCCCCATCTCGCTGGTTAGATGCTCTGTCGCCCCAGAGTCCATGTACCAGTGTGGATCGATGGAGTAGGACTGAGTGTGTCCCTGTTGCTTCTGCGGCGCGGGACGATCAGCCATGGCGACCTGACGGGCATTGTTGCGCGTATCTTTGCCGTCATTGCCAAGACCAAGGAAGCTTCGCTGGAAGCGCTTATGACACTTGGAGGCCCAGTGCCCATCGCGGCCACAAAGCTGACACGCACGTGGACCGCCAGCCCCCGGTAAGGTCGCAGTAGGTGGGGGGGCCGAGGCGGGCGACGGTGGCAGCCCCAAGGGAGACCGGGGTGATGAAGAAGAGCGGCCACCCTTGGTGGCGGCGTTGGCCGAGAGGGAGCCAGTGCCCCTGGTGCGGCGAGTCTCGACCCGTTGCTCAGTGAGAAGGAGCCGAGAGAAAACCTCGTGTGCCAGCATGGGTGTCGAGTTGCCCCGCTCGTTGATGATCTTGACTAAGGCATCATACTCCTCATCAAGACCATTGACAATAAACGAGTTGAACTCGGAGTCGGCGAGGGGCTGTCCAATGGAGGCCAATGTGTCGGCGAGGCCCTTGACCTTGTTGTAGAACTCAGTGGCAGTGGAGTCAAGCTTCTGACACTCTCCAAGCTGACGACGGAGTGCAGAGACACGAGCCTGGGACTGCGCTGCAAAGGTGCGCTCAAGGATGGTCCAGGCCTCATGAGACGTCTTCGCGAAGACAACAAGGCCGGCAACTGCCGGCGAGAGCGACCCCTGGATGGAGGAGAGGTTCGCCTGGTCCTGCCCCGTCCAGACGCGATGGGCCGGATTGTAGACCGGACCGTGCACGCTGTCTACCAGCGCGGGTGGGCAGGGAAGCGATCCGTCGACGTAGCCTAGCAGGTAGTGACTCCCCAAGAGCGGGAGAACCTGCGCACGCCAGAAGATGTAGTTGTCGGCGGAGAGCTTGATGGTGATGAGATGACCGAAGTGAAATGGCGGCGGCGAAGACAATCCCATCGAGGAGGCTGCCAGGGGTGCAAACACCATGGAGGCAGCCGGAGGCACCGAAGCCGATGCGGGAGGAGGCGGGACCGCAGCCAGGGCGGGCGCCGCAAAGCTCGCGGCCGGTGCGGACGCCGCAAGGCCCGCGGCCGGGGCGGACGCTGCCAACCCCGCCAGCGGGGCAGTGTGATCCGCTTGCGGCAGGAGCGGCGGGACGACGCCTGCGGAGTCCGCAGCGGACGGCGGCGCCGCGGTGTGGACCACGAGGTCACGCCCAAGCGAGGGCGCCGGCGGCGTGGAGAAGGCGGAGCCGATGCTCCTTGTCCCGATCGGAGCCGAAACAGAGACGGCATCGAGCGGGAGGTTGAGCAGAGCCGCAAGAGAGGCCGGGAGGAAGCCCGCAGCAGTGGAACCGGTGGTGGCGGCGCTCGACATGGGGCGGCGCGATCGGTGGCGCGGCGGCGGCGGTGAAGGCGGCGGCGGCTGCGGCGGCGGTGCGGGTATTAGGGTTTAGAAGCGGAAGCGATCGTAACCTAGCGTGATACCATGTAAGACAATAAGTTTTGGGGAACCAGCACAACCCTCTAGGGGTGGCTTATCTCATTATATATAATGGTTGTGTTACAATATGTACCATATACGTACATAGGTACAGAAGCTATACATAGTCTAACATGACGAGCCTAAATCAGCGAGTTTGATCAAATTGTTGCAGGGAGATGGTGAGTTTTGGTACGTTTTTAATGTTATGTACGTCCTTTCGACATGTTAAACGCCCATTTTCGATTTGGGACACATCACAACTCATTCTATAATTGGTATGTTCAGGCTGCGAAGAGTTGCAACCGTTGATTTTTATGCTGCTAGGTGTGATGATTTCTCGCACAATTTTAAAATACGAAAATACTCGTAAACATAATCCCCACGTAGACACGTACAGTACATAGCTAGTACTCCTATATGTCAGAAGAGCGTAAATACCGAGCGATCGAGATCCCATCCGTGGTCCAATAGTATTATACATCCAACTGTTGAAGGACGCCCGTGATCCAAGCAAAGCAAGTACTCGATCGATTCGCACAGCGAAACTTTGGCAGTCAGTCACAGGCACATCAGGACACGCACCAACATAAATGTGGGATGGATCAGAGCCCAAACAGTGGCGTACGTACGTACATAAATGTTCATGAACAGAAGCAAGTTGCGGGCGCGCGCGCGCACACACACACAGAAAGCTAGGCATGTATGGGGAGCCTCTGGTGGTCATGAGATCTGCATGACCTGTATGCTTGTTCTTTCCGTTTCCCAGCAACTCAATCTAGCCCAGATTGCACCCCTGGTGCGTTCCAGATGCACCCTGGTGTCATCTACTTCGACTTCGCTGCTACAGTACCAAGTTTGGTAACTTGGGCCTGTTTTTGTTGTGTAAGGAATTAAGCCAGAAAAACCTGAAAAGATCACATGCACTGCTTCTGTTTCAGAGAGGGCCGGTAATGTTAATTTCTTCACAATAGTTACTATATGTAAGTTAACTGAATTTATAATTTAGGCAAGTCGATTTTATGGGAGGAGGAATGGTTGGAGGAAGAAAGCTCGAGGGAAAAGGGAAAAGGAAGGCGATGGATTTTAGTCTAATGGTCCAGATAATTGACTTATCCAAAAAAAAATCTCAGACGGCTTACATATCGCAGGTCGCTATTTTCACTTGAATCTAGTAAAACACAGTCTCATTCAGTAGCAAAGTTACAAGGAATTCATATAACACAAAACGCTACACTCAGACTTGACGTACGTACATAGTTTAGTTACCCACTCTGTGATTAGCAAACCCTACCAATTGGTGTAGTAGCACCTGTCCATGCATGGACCTTCACACAAAACCGAAGGCCATGCACTAACTAGGCACAGGCACACACTAGTACAAACTCCTCGCAATACATATACTTAAGCACTAATAATAGTAGCACTAAAATAACTTGCAAAGTAAACTAAACATTTAAGAAACTAATTACCCACCAACAAGAACAGACTCCAGAAATCAAACACCTGGTACTGCTACATTTTTTAATGAGCTTTTGTCCTAGTGCTCGTACTAGCGGTACTAGCGACCTTTGTTTCTTCTACGAGATCCTATCACCACCCGGCAGCCTGGCCGGGAATGCGCGACGCCGGCGCTCGCACGCCGGGTGGTACCAGGATCTCGAGACCTCAGCTGGCTAGCTAGCCTGCTTGCTAGATAGACTAGAGCTGGTAGTGGTACGACGATGCCGCCGGCGGTGGCGGCGAGGCGAGCTGGGCGCAGAGCTCGGCGAAGGCGGTGAGGATGGCGGCGTGGTGGCGCGGTGAGTTGAGGGCGAGCAGGCGGCGTAGCATGCTGCGGAGGTCGTTCCAGCTGCACAGCCCGGTCTCCATCACCATCTGCACCATGCTCTCCCGGAAGTCGGCGCGCGGGTCCGACGAGTCCTTCTCTACTGCCAGCCCCACGTCCTCCTCCGGCGCCGCTTCTGCCATAGCTGCTTTGTTCTCCACGTAATACCTCTTCTTCTGCTTCTTCTTCATGCTCGCCGGCTGCCTCCTGACTGGCGAGGCCGGCGTCACAGCCGGTACCTCCTTGGCGGAGGGAAGGTGCTCTTGCTGCTGATGCAGCTTGGGAGCTGCGCCGAAGCCATGGTAGGAGGAGTAGTAGTTGGAGCAGTTGGAGGAGGCGTAGCTGGTGGAGAAGGAAGCGGTGGAGGAGGACGAGGGGAAGAGGCTGGACGAGCTGGTGCTCCTCGCCGGCGGCTTGCTCGCTGAGGAAGGCTTGAGGAAGGACGGCAGGCTGAGCAGCATCCTGGGGCGGCGCGGGCGGCAGCTGCACCCGGTGTCGACCACCGCCACGTGGCGGCGCCGGCCCACCGGGAAGTGCCCGCCGCCGCCGCCGCTGCCAACGCCCCTGCGCGCCCCCGTCGACGACATCGCCGGTACGCTAGCTAGGATATATAGTTCAGCTTAGCTCTGCGAGGCTACGTCGGGGTGTACGCTGGAGGGGTGTATAAAGCTTGGTTCCGGTGCCCGGAGGTGCGCAGGCAAGCTGGGAATGGGATTGATTGCGTGCACGGTGGTGTGTGCAAATGCGACTATGCGAGTGTGCTGTTGGTATATTGTCTCGTGTGGGATGGTGATACGCCGCGTGCAGTTTATATATGCTGTAATTTGACTAAGAGAGGTGATGGGATAGTTAATTGAGGGGAGGGGTGGGGTTTAGCTGGGCCATGTGTGGGATAGCTTGCTCATCATTCCTCCCCTGCCATTTCCATTGACCTTGACCGTACTCTCTAGCTAGGCTGTGATTTTCTAGTAAATTTTGTAAAC